CATAAAGACCTGATTCACATGTTTAGAGTAAATGGAGACCTGATTCACATGTGTACAGTACATAGAGACCTGATTCACATGTTTACAGCACATAGAGACCTGATTCACACTTGTGCAGTACACAGAGGCCTGATTCACATGTGTACAGTACACAGAGACCTGATTCACATGTTTACAGCACATAGAGACCTGATTCACATGTGTACAGTACACAGAGAACCGATTCACATGTGTAAAGTATACAGAGATTCGATTCACATGTGTACAGTACATAGAGACCCGATTCACATGTGTACAGTACATAGAGACCCGATTCACGTGTACAGTACCTAGAGACCCGATTCACATGTGGACAGTACATAGAGACCCGATTCACATGTTTAGAGTAAATAGAGACCCTATTCACATGTACAGTACATAGAGACCCGATTCACATGTGTACAGTACACAGAGACCTGATTCACATGTTTACAGTAAATAGAGACCTGATTCACATGTTTAGAGTAAATAGAGACCTGATTCACATGTTTTGAGTACACAGAGACCCGATTCACATGTGTACAGTACACAGAGACCTGATTCACATGTGTACAGTACATAGAGACCCGATTCACATGTACAGTACATAGAGACCCGATTCACATGTGTACAGTAAATAATGACCAGATTTACTTGTGTACAGTCAATAATGACCAGATTTACATGTGTACAGTGAATAATGACCAGATTTACATGTTTATAGTGACTTTTTTTACACAATAAGAGGAAAGACTATAAAAGTCATGATACACGAATAGGGTTGATTCTGTGTGTTTGTGTGTGTGTATAAATATGTTAAAAGTTAAACAATTATGTTGGAACTGTATATTTAAATACACCAACTTATATGTATACTACCAACTAGAGTGCAGACGTCACCGTATATTACCGTTAGGACGAGTCGTCTGGTGTAGTATACGTGTAGCAATATGACGAGTCGTGTCTTGACTCTAGTTAGGTATAGTAGTATATACAAAAGATATCACACAGAAGACTATCTCCAACAATTAAGTAAACCAACACAACGTCTCTATCTCTTCTAATGTAGTCAAGTTTAACATGGTTTAACAAAAAGAAACAACTCCCGATAGTACGCGGATATTTTGTTTGAAGCAGGACGATTTTTGGGAATTAACGTTAGAGAAAACAAAAAATAAAAATATTAGGGTTGGAGTTGTAAAATACGGATAGCCGGGAAGACATATTTATTTATATATATTTTAGATTTAATGTTTAATTTTCACCATGAGAAATACTTCCATAGTTACGATCTTCTTGTTCTTTTTGTATTTTAGAAGTTTTCAGTTGTTGGTGGTTAGTTTCTGGAAACAACATGGTTACAAGGATACCTGGGGAAACGAAAAGAGGAGGATATATATGTAAATAAATAGATAACTCCAATAAAGCTGGCTGTAATTTTGGTTTGTGTGCTAAAAATTATACACACAAATATTAATTGATGAATTTGATACTACAAAAATGGAATATACTTACTGATTATTCTGGTTCTAACTTACCATTTTTATATACCATTCAAAATATTGCATAAGAATCCCATTAAGCTCAGATTCGTTACCAATTATTTAAATACAATACTAAATCTGGTTATATTACTCAGTTATATTCTAGATATCTTATTTGAAAACATAAAAATACTGTTATCAAATAATCGTGATAATCTTCTAATGTAAAACCATACTACATTTTTGTGTTTACAATAGTTATGTTACTTTCAACAAACAAGAATATAAACAAACAGTGGGTATTCCAATGGGGGCCAGTTTATCTTCAAACATGTCAAACCTGAAGTTGTTGCTTTATGAAAACTCATTTCTGAAACAGGTATTAAATCCTGTACCATATTAAATTAATTTCCATGTTTGCTGGCTAGTTGATCACCAGCGATTGGATATTGTCTGATATATGGGATATCCCCAACGTATTTGGGTGCTATTACCACACACATTATCCGTTATGACATCAAGTTGAGAACTGTGGCAATTCTACCAATGCTTATTTTATATATAGACACACGTGAGGGAAAACAACATTAAATCATTAAACGACCTCAAGTACAAAATCATTT